GTAACCGGATGATTTTAATTTATTTTATCTTAATTGTTGCAATAAACTCGAAAGCGATAACATTTTTGAATAGAGAATGAAGTGACCTTTCAAACCATATATCACAAGCCTATACTTCCCATTTAAAAATTTGATGGTTTTACCTGTCATTCGACGGGAGTTGAATAGCATTTGTCCGTTGAAGTACGTCAATTTATAATTTAAATTTGACGTATTTCGGGATTTTATTGAAATAGGTACCTTAACCGAAATAATAAATTCTTTCCATTTGGCTTTTACACACTGTATAATAGAAACCCTAAGCCAATTGGCACCTTTGTAAGATTAAATAAAATAATAATCAAATAAAGGCATCATATGGAAAACTTTTTTTTCGAAAAGTTTCAATGAAGTTTAACTTCGGCATGCCGTAGACACAATTTTACAAGTAAGTTGAATTTGACAAACACTGAACGTCAGTGGGTCGCAGTTGGCCGCATCATTTTAAATTAAACTTAAAGCACAAACAAGTGCCGAAGTTAAACTTCATTGAAACTTTTCGAAAAAAAAGTTTCCCATATGGTGCGCACTTTAATGGTGACACTGTATTTCACTTGAACGTACCTTATTGGAAGCATAAACATTACAGAATTGAATTCTCATATATTTAATAATTTTTAATGACACATGACAAACAAAGCGAAACATGTCCTCAAATAATATCCAAAAACACTAATGAAAGGGTTTGACAATGAACGGAATGTTTTTTACTTGTTTATTAAAGTAATTGTAGTTTCATTTTATTTTTGTATTGCTCATTTTGTGAATAGGTTCCAATGATCATACTGTTGCTCACCTTCTTCTAATTGGCATAGCAACTTCAATGGGATCACGTCCTGATGACGTCATTACTTGAAATTAGTTCACCCTGTATTTACAACTAGTATTTGGAAAAACAGTAAACCAGTAACATGGTAAAAGTTGCGTTTTGGAAGTTTCAATGATTTTGTTGATTTGACTCTTACGTTACATTATGGACGCACTGTATATCTGTAAAGTTAACAAATTTCAGATCGTAAAAAGGGAAATCAATCATAAGTCATAGCCAGAAAAATCAATCATATGAGTTGTTCCGTAGATCACAGTCGAATCACTGGATTCCTTCTATAAAAGTTTCATGATAATAATTTATATCGTCTATAATGATCATCGGTGCTTAATGATTATACGCAGTCAGCGTTGTTGAATTATTAAAAATGATATCATCCCGAGAAAATGACGAGCCACAACTATTCTCGTTGTTCAGATGCCGTTCTGAGGAAGCCCATTGTCATTTTCTGGGCCTCGTCTTCTGGGATGGTACCAAAGTTTCGAAATACACACGGTACGTGCGTCCGCCTCGGGGGGTTAGGCCGGGTCTGACTCTACGGGGGGTGGGCGCCACTAAAATACACGCCACTGCACAGAAGCCGAGATTTCAGATCTACCACTTTGATAGGTACACATTGTTTTCTACTGTGATCCTCATTATTATTATCACTAATTATTTCACCTATAATTTCAACAAGTGGCATGTTTGAAGGTTATGTAAAATTATTTGAGAAAATGATTTGAACTTTTTACCTCTCTATTTTTTCTCTGTTAGTGAAATCTTCAGAAAGTAGTGACTACCTGTAGAAGTGACTACTTGTTGTTTCTATTCATGTTTTAACCGGCGTAATCCTTAAATCAATGACATTATGATTTGAGATGAAAATTTAATTTATATGGCCGTAGGCTTTCAATGGGGAATGTTCCTCCTGACGAAAATCAAATAGTTTTCATAAAAGAGCTCTAAAACGACGCATTTCAACCTTTTTCTTAAAAAAATTATTCAAATACTTGAAAAAGATGAATCAAATAATGCATTCAACATTTTAAGGGATTCGTTTCTATTTCACCATTTGGCTACATCGGTTATAGCTAATGAAGAACAATGAATCTGTTACTTGTATGAGACAAACAAAGATGACATATTTCAGAGGCGTGCTGTTCTGTTTACTTATGTTCCGAGTTCCGAGACATCCTGTGACATATGACATTTTGTGCACCTAACCTATCTTCCTCTATATAAATAAATAACAAAACAACTGTTGTTTATGTGGCTTATGGAGGTGGTATTGAACTATAATTTATATTTTGCCTTAATTGTTGATTTATATAGATAATTTTCCTTTTTTAAAGTAGAATGTTGCCAATATGTGAATTAGAAACATTCAAAACATCAATTTGAATACTTTTCGAAGTGAATTTGAAAAACTCATGAATTAAACTCAACTTTATTTTGTTCAAACTTGCATTTGCTGTAATAACCCAAATTGAGGAACATTCCCCATTATTGAAATGTGGTCACGTTTAGATGTAACATAGGGGAAGTACACTTGAAAAATGTTAAAATTGAAAATTTGGAGACAAACAAATTTTTAGGGCTCTTCATTGATGAAAATCTAAAATGTGATTCCCATGTCGACTAATTGTGTGAAAGACTAGCAGTAGGATGTCATGCAGTGAGAGTTGTTGCAAGAGAGTTAGACACTACTATCACAAGATCAGTTTATTTTGCACAAATTGAGTCCTATTTACGTTATGGAATTTGTTTGTGGGGAAATTGTGAACAATTTCGTTTCAATATGGTATTCTCTCTAGAAGATCCATCAGATATTTATGCAAGGCTAACTACAGGGATTCATGCAGCCCATTATTTGTGAATAAAAAAGTCCTGACCTTAGTATGTATTTTTATTTTGGAAACAGTGTCTTATCCACAAAAAATATAAAAATCAATTTAATATCACCTCAACTTATAGTATACGTCAGTCTTACTTCATTTGCACTAAATTCTATTATTTTCAAAAGCAAGAAGTTATAACCTTTCCATTAATTTAAGGCGAATATATGATGAAAAGAAATTCAGAAAGAAAGTAAAAGAATTCCTTGTTGGGAGGCCCTATTATAGTGTAGACGAATTCTACCAAGGCTCTATGGAGTAATTGGCATGTAGCTTTGTGTAAACAAGTTATTGAAATCAACACGAAATGGCTATCAATGTTCATTACATAGCATTATATATTCACATTTACTCAATATTCATATATTCTTGTAGGTACTTATATTGGTATCTCTTCAGCTGGGCTCAATATTGTTATTTCCTGCTCTTGTCTCTAAGCATTATTTTATAGTTTATATTCGTTAATTGTTCCACATACACGTTTTAGTTTACTAGACTTTGCCAATAAGATGTTCAGATCTTGGGTAATAAAGCATATTTTGATTTGATTTGATTTGAAAAAGTAGTAGACAAATAGCAACAAACAGACTATATATATTTCTCCAAATCATTTTATTTATTCAATTAATCAAATATAATTGAATATTTTCCTTTCATATCTATACCTAACGGTAGATTGTAGACCAATTATATATAATATTTCCTGTGAATGAAACTTGAAAAAGATCTCCAAACTGAAGCAACTTTTAAATTATGTGAACATTTCTCACAGTTCCCCCCCTCTGCATTTCTGGTTCTTTTCTCAACCAAGTTATTTATTCGATACCTAACAGATATACGGGATTAGCGTGTTAGGAATCACACTTCAAAAGGTAAGACTTCGTTAGTCCTTAGCCCGCACAAGTTTCGTCTTCTGAGGGTTGTCGTTCGTAGGAGTGCGACAGCTGGTTAATGGAAAAACAGATTTTGAACAGATTTTTTTTCAAACCTGTTCCATCTATCCATTGGCAAAATATTCACATAAAACGCGAAATTTAGGAAACCCAGATTTTGATTTCGTTGATGAATCTAAAACAAATCTCTGAAAAAATACTTTTTTTACTTTCAATGGGTATGAAAGGAGGTTGTTTCTTCTATAAAGTACATTTTTTTAATCTTACTCATATAGGTGTATGATAGATATTCATTGGATTTTTCAAGTATTTACCTAGTCAATTCGCAAGATTCGCTATCTGTAATTCTCCAACTAATTTTTCAATACTTGAGGAATTAACTTCAGTATTCTGAGGAAGAAGCAGATATCTATAAGTACTCAGTTGGTTAAGCCGAGTGCGTCTAGTTTTTGTCTGAAATAAATAATCATACACATTGTAGGAAAATTTATTTAGCGATTTTTGATTGGTCCTTTATCTTTTTCTCCTGTTATCCAAAATATATACATCAAAGGATTGAAAATCTGAAATAGGTTTTCCAATTAGCTATATATCCTTTATTATGAAGTGTAACTTTTCAAAAATTAAGTGATCAATACAATAATAGTATATTAATAATGATTATTATATGTTTATAATTTTGATATGATTTTGAAGATCGAAATTATAGTATCTCTCGTATGTAATAGTCAAAAAAGTTAACCTCAATTTAGGTATAGAAAATTGGCATCTTCAAATTTATGAATTAATTTGGTAATTAACACGGCTGTGTTGAAAAAATGGACGAGATTATAAAGAAAACTATAGTTTAAGGTATATATAAATCAACTATTTTTTATCTAGAAATGAAATTAATATGTTTCATTACTTTTGAAAAAATTTTTCAGTGAAAACGAATCAAACACGATTCATTTTGACCAATAACTATTTCTCAAATCATCTTGACCAGTGAGGACAGATGACAGTGACAGATTATAATTCTTGTTATATAAACTAAATGAAAAAATTATAAATGAAAGTAACATTGCAACAAAATAAAGAAATAAAAAATTCTCTGAAACCTATATCTATTTGAACTCTATTAATGGAGTTAGTTTCAACACAGAACAACTGCTTCACTAGGTTGAACTCAACTGAATATTTAGGTCCACAATTTTGAGGTGATTCATCTGAAATCTTTGGAAACCACTTAAAACATTTTCCTTAAGTAAGTGAGTGGATTTTTTTCACACGCAGAAAAAATGATCCTCGATTTTAAAATTTATGTTCTTCAGTGCAAGAAGTTGAAGGTTAAATTTGCAACACTGAAATGAAACTCACATATTTAATATAAATAACGTATATTTTCAATATGTCATATTTTACAAAAATACCATACCGTAAAGTAAATTCATTAAGCAGTCTCTAAGGTCTATTCTGCAAATATTTTTCTCAACAATAAATTAATTGAAACAAAGGTATGTGAAGATTAACGATGTTTGTATTGATTATTGAAAAAACACAAACAGGTTTTATCAAATCAGATTGCAGGATTGACCCTAAATGTTTTTCGTATAAGTAAAAAATCACAGTCTAGAGTTGAATTTATATAAGTATACATGTCCGACGGGAGCAACAACAAACTCTAATCGGTCGAAACAAATATTCATATGTATAGATTGAAAACAAATACGGTTTTATGAATTTGCCTTCATTATTTCACAATGAGAAGCCTCTGAAATGGCCCCATTAGTTTGTACACAAAAAAAAATATACATGTAAGTTTCAAAAATAATAACAAGAGTTGTGCCGCGGCAATGAAAGCATTTTTTACTCCAAATTTACAGTTGTATCGTATTTCTAGCATCAGTTCATAGGCCATTCACCTATATCTAGTAAAATAATTGTCAAGTTCTGCTCCAATTTTATTGAATAGTCGACATTTTTTCATTGGATTCATGAAGTTCAAAAAGTTTTTTCTGGCAAAACTTTGAGAGTTCAAAAAATGATTTAGATACCCGAATTAATAACTAAGGGCATTGCTAACTCGGTAGATGTTCAAAGGAACGTATAGTAATTTTTCTTTGAAGTTCTTTTATAATGTATTATTCTCTGTCACAAAAGTTTAGACGCCGAACAAATAGGTATATTATAAAATCGAAATTTAGAGTGAAAAATGTGTTCACTGGTACTTACAATTGAATAATCTATACAAACACTACAAACTACAACTTTTCGAAACATCTGGAATTCGTCAACATTTCCCTAGTCAACCGCCACACCATTTTCGACGCATTTTCCAAGGCACTTGGAGATTTGCCCTTGAACAGGTCCAAATTTGGCAAGAAATAATGGGGACACCTTTTGCACTGCAAACACGATATCAACTGTAAGAAAATACCGTTTATCCTATCTGCTATACAAGCCTCTTCCCACTCAGGTTCCCTGGGATGTTTCTCACACTCGTATAACAGAAGAGTCTTCATGTGGTAACCTGTTACAGGGTTACCGGGAAGGTCCAGGTGACGGTCTCTCAGCGTTTTCAATATGCTGAGGCACCTCCTTCTGCAGCCTCCTTGCAATAGACGATTTTCTGCCTCCAAGAAGGATAACACCCAAGCGTCGCCTTCCATCGCTGACTGCTTACCTTGGAGAGCTATGCACTCCTTGGAGAGCAAATCAAACCCTTCTGTTTTCACTTCTACGACGTGGTTGGGGTGCGGCCAGGGAAACTGTGGCAGAGGCCAATGTGAGGCGCTACGAGGCCACAATCCCGCACACCTAAAAGCTGGCGTAATTTGCACTATGTATCTCTCGCGAATCCTCAGTTTCACCTCGGTAGTGTCCGCTATCATTTTGACACTGTCTCTGTAGGAACACTTGTCACAAGCCTGGGCGACGAGAGTTTGGAACCTGGAGCGCATCTTCCTGGCCGAAAGGTAACCGGAAGCGGTGATGAACTCCACCCAGAGGGACATGGAGCGCTTCCTGCCGTCGCTCAACTTGAGAACCGCGCATCCCGGCAAAGTGCCGTCATCGACGAAATTTAGCACTCCCATCTGGTTCAGGTAGATGACTACTTCGAACTCCACTGGCGAAACCACTTCCAAGCCGTCGAATCTCCCGTTATAGTCAGTGAGGGAGGAGATGAACCGAGGTTCTTGCACCTCTACCTCCTTCAGGACGTCCTGCACAACTCGGCACACTTCCTGTATCGTCTTGGACACCTGCAGCTTTCTCGCTTGGACTTTTTCGGTGTAGTATTTGTTGAGCTGGTAGACCATCTTGGATTGGGCTGCCAACATGTCTGGGGGCACTAGCATATTGGCTGTTTGTAGGCTACTAGAGCCGCGTTTTTCCGCCGGTGCCACTTTGATGGTGATATCTCCTTCGGGGAGTACACAGGGTGGGGGATGGTTTTCCGTGGATTGTTGTTAATTTCTTCTGAAATACCGCCGCGTGTTACTGAGACGAATCGAAGTGAGCAGTTGTTGAGACACTGTTGTGTGTTGAGCGAAGTTGGAGAGAGTTCAGGTGAGAGTGCGGCTCCGCCTATCGAAGGATGGAGTTCCAAGTTAGCTCCGCCCGCTGGCGCCGGCCAATAGTGAGAGCCGGGCGCGACGCTTGCGATATAGATAGTGTTCGTTTCTGCTCGTGGTTTACGAAAGGGTAACGAGAATAACGAGATAGAAGCGCAGAGTTCGGGGGACTGACTCGTGATGTGGGGTATGTAACAGCTTACATATGATTTAATGGTTTATGCAGAATGAGAATGTGTTTTTGGTTGTGATCGATTCCAGGCGTCTTTTGTTTACATTTTTTTATGAGTGTTTTTGTGGGTGAAATTGTTTTGAAGTTGTTTATTCAAAAATATTTTTTTCATTCAATAATAGTGGCTGAATTGAGCAATTACTTTTTTGTTAACCAATGAGAACACAAAATTTTACTTTCAAAACTTCCGGAATCGCATAGAAAGTCTATGATGAATATTTGCAGATGTCAGAAGACTATGCTAAAAAGTTATGAAATCATGAAAAACACGGACTCGAAAAACTCATAAATAGTAAAACATTAGGAGAAAAATTATCTGTTTTTGCAAAATCTTACCTTTGTAAAATTGCGTTTTCTTTTCAATATAAAAATGCGTTGTAAGTAGTACTGCTATGCATTATATTGAATGAATTGGCAACTGTTTTCTTATTCATATCCTCAGAGCATTGGTTCAAATGAAAAGAAAAACAAAAAATATTTTTGGGGGTTCCAACGAAATATTTTATAAGGTTTTGTTTTTATTCAAAAACTGCTGTTCAAAGATATATGAAACATCAAAGGAGAGTAAGAAATTCCATACCCACCATTGAAAATTGTTTACAGAAATATATATAGATCATCCAGATATTGTTTTCGTTTTACCAAAATATTCAAAGAACATCAATCAACAATTATAGTGGATCTTTATACGAAAAAATTCCCTTAGTATTTTTCATCAATATTTGTTTTTATTTTATTTTTTTTTTAATTTTCTTTCGTCGAACATTGGGCCCACAATACCTTTAAGTTGGTTTATTTTCCAAAATTTCTATTGTTATTTCAACTAGAATATATATTTTTTGGAAAGAAAGCTTTTGGCTTTGTAATCTATCTTGATAAAAAAAAACGTGGAAATCTCCCAAATACAAGAATGAAGCAATCAATTTCAAAGATTAACTCTAAATGAAGATGTGTAGATCATGCAAAGAAGTAACTTTCAGACATAAACTGGAAGTAAAAGCCACTCGAAAAAGATATTCTCATATAAACATTGAATTACACGAAAGAAACCAGATAATTTTATATGAACACTGAATTATACAAAAAACACTTTCCTCTATTCCGTTTGTATTCCAAACATTCGTATGGAATCGAATCAGATGTCATTTACACGATTCCTACACAATATAATAAATGAAAAAAGTATATTGCCACTTATATGGAACACTATCATTTTCACTGGTAGACATCCGATGTTTCACTGGATTTACATACACCAGATTTATATTTGAAATTGAATTTGTAGATATTATAAATTAAAAAAAATCTTTGAACGAATAATTTTGGAAAATCAATTTGCAGTGACACTGGCACTGGCACTGACACTTCCATAGTATAAAAGTAGAATAGGTGTTTGTATACGAAACCTCGTGATAATGATTCAGTAAGAAATAAAAAGCGTTGATATGGGTATACACTGGTAAAAATTTTTCCACCGGTACCGGTGGCAATTTAATTACCGCCCATATTAGCGAGAAATTACTTTCGTGTGTGATCTCACATTCCATACGGAATATTATTTTGTAATTCTACCCCGAAGACAAGTGTGGAATTTTTCAGTGTAATTTTTCATTTTGAGTGTACTTTTGTGTTGAAATAAAACTTTATAGGGTAAATTTGCGATATAAATTTATATCGAGATATTACACTCTTCACAGAATTTTACAGTAGAATTTTACACTTTTATATAATTTCACAGTGGAATTGTATAGTCTGATAAAATTTTACATTGTAATTTTTCATTTACGGGTTATATTACCTTGGGATATTCCGTTGTAAGAAGGTCCGTATTCAGAGTAGTTTTGAATACACTATATATACCTATATATACCTCAATTGGATGTTGACTCTTGACTCTTAAGTGACCATTTTTCCTTATAATTAAGATAATTGAATGCACAAGACATATTACACATTGATATATTAAAAAAAAAATGTATATACAAAATAAGTTCATATACATTCTTGAAATGAAATTCTACAAAACATTTTTTTTTTCATTTTCAAAAAAGTCAAATAACAGTACAAAATAAAAAAAAACATTCTTCAAATTAACACATTTTCTTTCTGGCTCATGGTGGTATTATCCTGAAAGAGAAATGAAATATCATCAAATGAATAGGTTAAGAACTCTAAAAACACAGTAAGTTGACGAACACACATTCCTAGAGAAAAACTACTACTAGTTTGAATTCAATATTAATATTTCTCAAAAATTTTTGATACATATTCAACCGTTTAAATAAAAAATTTGATTTTTCCAAATGTTTTCCAACATTTTCTGAAATATAGCAAATATAGCTATAATGATATGGTATGAAGTGGTGATGAAGTGTTTTGTTCACCTCTTCAACAGAAACAAAAAGATCCTAAAGTGTTTCTCGATTCCTTCAATTTCAACTTGCCTTCCATCGCAAAAATGTTTTCAAGTTCAATAATAAGAATCACAAATCCTCAAATTTATCCAAAATTATGAGAGATACGAATAAAACGTTCAGATATTTTTTAGGTGAATGAAATTACGATTTAACATTGTCCGATATTTGCAACCACCAATACGAAACTTTATTCCTCATCGAAATTCATTTTTAAAATGGATAGTGCATACGGCGTCACTGATAATTCACGCCACTGCTATCGAGTATATCTCTTTTTCTCTTTTTGTCAATACCATTCAGTAATTATCACAAACATTTTCAAATATATGTTCTGTAATTATTTGAAAATCAGTTAAAATATGTTGTACTATTCCATACAGTATGAAATAATTCGCGATGTGAGGTTAGGATATACTTGTAATAAAAAAACACTCTATAATGCATAACAAGAAAACTCAATGAATTCATCTGTTTATGGGACTAGTTATTGAAATTTTACAAGAAATGTACTCACCTTCTTTACTTATTTTCACCAACAACAAAAATATTCTAATGCACACGTCAGACAAACCGATGCGCTTCTATAGACAAGAATGAACAATACAATAATCGCTCACAAATACAAGCGTAATTTTACATTCGATAAAGAGATGGCGAAAATTTACATTTCACTAAGGGGGAATACCCATCGTCCAGTTAGTTCTTCTCTTCACATGAAATAATACGTTATGATTTCACACATATAGGTATTAGATGAATATTTAATTCTCAATGAAAAGTACATTGCCTACTGAAATTACGCTCGGCGATGTGAATTATTCAATAGAGGAAGTATATTTTCAATAAAACTAAAGTAATTTTCTTCATTCGAAATGAAAATTCCGAGGTAAATTTCAATCATTTTTCCCGGTGTAGGTACATCTGAAAAATATGCTTTAGGTTTGGGGGAGCAAGCAAAAGAAAAAATGGTAGGGTTGGGTTAGGTTCGAAGGTGTTGAGAAAAAGAAACCAGTGAAGAAATGAAAATAACTGTAATTTTGAAGTGGAATACTTTTGTTTAGTATAGGTAGGTTTGCTGTGTATCATTTGTTTGCATGCAGAGTTTCTGGGAAAGAATGGATAGAATGCTGTAGGTTCTCAAGAAGATGCACATTGATATACTATGTTGATGCAATAAGTGTACTTCAGATGACGGTTAATTGAAGGTTTTTATATTTGAAAGTATATTTCCATGTTATTTTTGACTGAAAATGATATTTGCTATTATGATTGATATTATGTGTATTATGTCATGGTATTACTATATAAAAATTAAGTATATTTTCTAATTATTTCTCATCCCAAGTCTGGTCATGCTACAAACGAAACATATATATTAAAAACATGTTTTGAATAAAAAGTACGAGCTTTGTTGCTTTGCGTTTAACTTTATATGAAATTGGTCATAAACATTTGTTTGAGATATATATACCTGCTTGCAGCAAACGTTTATAGGAAAAAAAGGTTTTGGCTTTCTACTTCTTCAGACACAAACTGGAAGAAAGTTACTTCTTTGCATGTTCTATACATCTAACTATAGAGTTCATTTATTTAAATTGATGGCTTCCTTTCTTTGGAAAATTCCCATATTTTTTGTATGAAGATGAATAAGAGAAAACCAGAACCTTTCTTTCTCAAAAATCATATCTCCTAAAAATATACCCTTTTCAATTCATACCTCAATCTTTCCTTTAAATGTTGATGTTTTTCCTACAGAAGACAAGTAGACAACATAAAAGTAATAAGAAAATAGAAATACATAGCAATGATGCAAATTTTTTATACATTCCTTTGGACACTTGAAAACAAAAATATTTCTTTAAACATATCCGTATCGTTCAATATATGAAAACGTCATAATTCACATTGAGTGCTTGAAATAGCACGTTGAAGAACATTATCTCAACTTTTATTCACTTCTTACAAATCTCTAGAGAACTATTAGAGGATAAGGTATAGCACTCAGATTTGTGTCTTAGATTTAAGAACCATTCTTTTTTCAAAAACCGTCGCTCTTTTGAAGTAGTTAAACTTACCTTTTTGTAAAGTATGGGAGAGAAACTGAAAAACTTCAATTAGGAATGGGTGTCATGTTAATGTTTTGTTGAAATAGAAAATCAACCAATATCTATTTCAACTATATACGAATAAATGAACCCAATGTTTTTTACACGATTCCTACACAATATAATAAATGAAAAAAGCTATAAAGGGCCGTAGCCAGGGGGGGGGGGAGTAATCCAAATTTTCCCCACCAGCAAAATTTCCCAACTTTCGAAAAAATGAAAGCCGAGGGATTAGTTACTACTATAATATATTAATTTTCTTACTTAGCTATCCAAAGGGTATGCACAAACAAAAATAAATTTTGGTAATTATAAAAATAATAGTGGGAATTATTCTACTTTGGACCAAGGTCCTTGGTTTTTCACCATATCCAACATGTATAGGAATATTCAATACAAATGAAAGGAAACAACACCTAAATAATATTGTGCTTATTGTTTTCTACTATTTTCTTTTCTATTTTAACAGCTCGAAATTTCCCAACTTTTCCAAGTCGAAAAAATAACGAAAATTTGGGAATTTTGTAAAATTGTCACTTCAACATTTGTGGACTGTTCAGGCCTGTTCTGTTACTTGGGAGAAATTAAACTTTTTTGAAGTTTTCAAACAACTCAGCATGTTGGGAAATCCCAACCTTCTCCCGGTTCTTTCCCTTTTCTTATTACCTCTCCCTTTCTTTTTTCTCATTTTTATTTTTTTAATTTTTATTCATTTTTTTCTATCTTCACGGCCTAAAATTTCCCAACTTTTCCCCCCCATCTCCCCCCATGGCGACGGCCCTGGTCCTATAGGTACTTGAGAATATTTTACATTCAATACCTATTGACAGAATGTATGTAAGTGTTTTAAAAATATCATAATTTTAGGTTTCTACTCTTATAAATAATTTCCAATTGCTGAAATATTGCACATTTTTTTATAGTATCTATTCATTTTGAGTGATCAGATAATCTGACAGTTATATACTTAGAGAAAATCATAAGTAAATCAGAATATCATTTATAGTTTTCAGTGTGGGTTTTCAAGGTCTAGACTGCTTTCATAAAAAATGAGAAACATTCAACTATGATTGAGCTATGATGTTGAGCAACAATTATCGTTTAGAGAACAGGCAGTATTTTAAAAATTTAGTAGTAGTAAAAGCTCTATATATACATTTCAATTATGTGGGTTGTGTTTGGGGTACTGATGATTCTCAAAACATTTCAAAACTACCAGACTAAATTAAAAAACTATACAAAAATGATAGAACGTCTGAAAAAACTCTAATTTCTTCGAAAAAAGCTGGTTTTGTTCAATATACCCTTTTATCAATCGATTCTAAACTTATTACCTGAAAAAAACTCATTAGTATATTTTAAAACTATTCATAAAGTGAGAATATGATTGTTAACCTGAATTTGAAAAATATCCACAATTATTAAGCTAAAATTGAATATTTTTAAATCTCTGATCATGAATAATAGATAAAGAATTTTGATAAAATGTTCAAAGACCTTCATATTGTGATATTTCATGCATCGTTTTATACTATCCATCTATATTTTATATATCATCAAATTGCCTAATTGATTTTCAATTTTATAGCAAACTAAAATCACATTAATAGAATTTTTTTTATGTTGAATTTACTTCTCAAATATATTTGGGTATATATCTACGTCTGCGTATTGTTTTTGTCTTGCTAATGTATAGGTATCTATAAATAATATTATGAAAATACATTTCAATTTCAATGTAATGATCTAATAGTAATTTATATAAATTTTTCCATTAGGTGAACAATTTTTACTGATAGTGATGTAACAAAAACCATAATGAGTATTTATCAATAAGAGATAAAAATATCAAACCTTCAACAGAAAAACGAACACATTTCAAGAGTTTATTAGCGAACAGGTAGAAGGGCCACGAATTATTTTGAAAAAATCCAAGAAACTCCCAGATTATAGTCGGAATTAACCAAATTATTATTATGAAATGGTGACTTGAAAAATTGTTATAATTTTCGAAGTTGAACTTGAAATTTAACAAACTCAAAATTTTGAATTCAGTTAATTGTATTTGAAAAGAATGTGGCCTATTTACGCCTTCGTACTGTTATTTTTGGAGATATACAGAAAAATAAATAATTTTGAATGAAAATCAATACAAATTAAACTCCTTCTTAAAGTACTTATTACCTATTTCTGGTTATGTTTCTGTATTGTTTTATTTTCGGTGATATATATATAAATATTCTATGAAAACTCTTTTCAGTTCCAAACTAGTTTTGTCAAAAAGGAAGTGTATTTTTATTTAGTAAATTAAATAAATAAATAATATAGGTACAAAAAACAGATATATATCCACAAAATATAAATAGTAAAGCAGTATTTCTATGAAACAATTGTTATTTACATCAATAGGTATAACAGAAATAAGTAGTAATTATTCAAATCAACTTAGCGGTCTCTAAAAAATATACAAAATATTTACAGTAGCGTAGATATTATATTAAAACAGTCGATATTAATGAAATAGTAGCACTAGTCATTAAAACGGTAAAATCACTGAAATATCACTAATCAACAAAAACAATTTTGAAAAATGGCACATTCATTGTCAAATATGAGAAGGAAATCTCGTTGAGAAATGAAAAATTCTCCCACCACATCAGCGTGTACATGCATCGTATGGAAAAATGTACATTCAATAATCCACTGAATATTCAATTAGTTTCGCCTATACTTGGGACATATAATTGACCACACCAGCAACATAAATAATCGCTATAGGTATCGGTTCGATGAAATCCTCTTTTTATTGCTCAACTGTTCGACTCTAATTGGAGGAAAAATAAATGTAATGTTTCAATGAATTACAATTTTTCCAAGCTCCTCGTATTGGTTAGCATCTCTCTGGTTAACCTCCACACTTGCTTAGCGGCATTTTCCAACGCGCTTGGAGATTTCCCCTTGAACAAGTCCAAATTGGGCAAGAAATAATGCGGACACCTCCTGCACTGCAGACACGAAATCAGTTGCAGGAATATCCCATTGATTCTGTCTCCGATGCAGGATTCATCCCACTCTGTTTCTCGCGGGTGTTTTTCACACTCGTACAATAGCAACGTCTTCAAGTGGTAGCTCGAAACCGGGTTGCCGGGAAGGTCCAGGTGTCGGTCCCGCAAGGTTTTCAGGATACTCAGACATCTTCGTCGGCAGCCGCTTCCTAAAAGTCTGTTTTCGGCTTCTAGAAATGAAAGCACCCAAGCGTCGCCCTCCATGGCTGACTGTTTTCCTTGCGCGGCGATGCTTTCCTTGCTGAGCAGGTCGAATCCTTCAGTTTTCACCTCTGCGACTAGATTTGGATGTGGCCAAGGAATGTGAGGAATAGGCCAGTGGGCACCAGACCTTGGCCATACTCCGGAGCATTTGAAAGCTGGCGTTATTTGTACTATATACCTCTCCCGTATCCTCAGTTTCACCTCGGTGGTATCAGCTATCATTTTCACTATGTCTCTGTAGGAACATTTGTCGCAAGCTTGGGCAACGAGGGTTTGGAACCTTGACCTGATTTTCCTGGCGGAGAGGTAGCCTGACGCTGTTATGAACTCCACCCACAAGGACATTGATCTCTTTCTTCCGTCGCTGAGTTTTAAGACCGCACAACCCGGTAGCGTACCGTCGTCTACAAAATTAAACACTCCCATTTGGTTGAGGTACAACACCACCTCGAATTCAATGGGAGAAATCACTTCCAGGCCTTCGTAGCGGCCGTTACATTCAGTTAGGGAGGAGATGAATCTTGGTTCTTGAACTTCGACCTCTTTCAACACGTCCTGGACCACTTTGCAAACTTCCCGAATCGTTTTGGCTATTGTCGCCATGCGGGTTTGAACCCTCTCGCCGTAATATTTGTTTATTTGATAGAGCATTTTTGACTGGGCGGCCAACATATCAGCCGGGACCAACATTTTGATCCAGCCGTCGGGTTTCTACTAGAGCTCCGTTAGATCGTTACGGGGAGGGACGTGCATTGTTTTGTGGGAGTGGTCTGTTGCTCCGCCTGCTTTGGGATTTCATCATTGCGCAGAGATGGTATCGACGAATTTTCAAGCCCGGCCCTCGAAATCAGGAGTCACTATTTACTGTCATGTCCAGAGCTGGCGTTCACATTCGAATTTAAGGAGATACATACGAACATGGTGAATATGTTGCGTACAACTTCAAAGTTGATTCATGTTACAGATTCCTTTTATGATTTTTATAATTTTTGAAAAAGTTGTTTGCGTTTATTCTATTTTCTTTCGAAAAAGAAAAATAATTGTGAATTGTATTCTTTGCCAATTCCTCCGATAAAGAAGTGTGGACGATTGGAGGGAAAATATTTTCCCAATGTGAAAATTGAAGTATTTTCATTTGTTTGTTTGGGTATTTTCACTGTCCACAATCTGAAAAAATCAAAATTGTATTTGAAATCTTGTACACTTGATACGATCGGTTAAAATCCCCCCTTCAAATATTACTGAATATTAATCAACTGCCGGTGGCAATTTATTTACCACTGAAATTAGCGAGAAATTAATTTTTTGTGTGATCTCACATTTCATGCGGAATATTACCTCATAAATTTACTACGAAAAAAAAATGTGAAATTTTTCATTGTACTTTTCAATTTTTAGTGTACTTTTGCGATGAAATACAACTTAAAGGCAGAATTTGCGATATAAATATACAGGGTCTTCCCCAAAGTATGCACCATATGAGAAACTTATTTTTCAAGGGTTTTTCGACAAAAAGTTATTCTTGTTAAAAGTTCGTGCATCCCCTTAAACTTAACATGTACCAACAAAATACAGTGAAACACACGTAGTATACGAGGAGCCTTCAAATATTTGATTTTGAGACAAGATTAAAGTACTCATATTTTGTAATATTTCGGGAAATGTTATTTAGAAAAGTAGTTCAGCATTGAAAAATACATCTAGATTCGAAGTCATGGTCATCTAACTGAAGTTAGATCTAACTGAAGTTAGATGGCCTGGAATATTACAAATTACACAACTATGGTATTAACCACGGCCAATATTTTTGAAGAGTAAAATATTTTTCAAAGTTTTTGGTGCAAAGTTATATTTATTTATTGTTAACACCGAAAATTACTCAAAATTATACAGTATTGTAACAAGAACTCAATATTCAATAATATCAAATCACAAAACATCAAAATAAAATGGGTATTTTGGAACAAACTGGAGAATATTTTGGAGAATTATTTTGGATAAGAAAATCTCCAGAAAATCAATGAGTTTGTTCCGAAATACCTATTTTATTTTGATGTTTTGTGATTTGATATTATTGAATATTAAGTTCTTGTTACAATACAGTATTATTTTGAGTAATTTTTGGTATTACCAAAAAATAACTTTGCATCAAAAACTTTGAAAATTATTTCACTCTTCAAAAAAATTGGTGGTTAGATATCCATGACTCCAAATCTTGATGTATTTTTCAATGCTGAACAACTTTTTTAAATGATATTTCCCAAAATTTTTCAAAATAAGGGTACTTTACTCTTGTCGCATAATCAAATATTTGAAGGTTCATCGTATATTACGTGTGTTTCACTGTATTTTGTTGGGATATGTTCAGTTTTAGGGGATGCACAAACTTTTACCAGGGATAACATTTTGTCGAAAAACCCTTAATAAATAAGTTTCCCATATGGTGCATACTTTGAGGATATCACTGTATATCGTGATATTACAATGTAATTTTACTCTCCACCATAATTTCTCAGCAGAATTTTATACTGTGATTCTTTCTTTGTGATTCATTTCAGAGTTCATTTTTATCCTATAACTGGTATCTGGTATCTTGTAACTTGTATATTGTAATCAGCTTGAAATGAAATTGTACAAAATAGACAATTCTCATTTATTTTATCTCCAATAAAAACATTGCAAGTAATACAGAAAAATAAAAACATGAACAATAATATTTCTTCCTTAACACACAGTAAAAATAAAAATCTCAAAGTGAGAAACATTTTCTCTCAAGTTGAATTAATCATTATGTCAAATGGACTGAATACACGCATTTTTCAAGTAAAAAAAATATTCTACCAAGATTGTGCATACATTTCAATAGAAATAATCACATTAGCTCATGAGAAGTAGGTAAGTATGCATTCTTTAGTCTGAGCAAATTCAATCTCGAAGCAAAACTGTTTTGGGTTTTGAAAGAATGATATGTTTACTTGGAACATTATTTAAATATCTCCGTATGAGAAATTGATTGTTTTCTTTTGAAGAGAAGCATTTTTCATTGAAACGCTTATATTTGTATGAATCAAATAAACTCATTTACTTCATCAAAGATGTTATATTAGAAAAGAACCACATGACGAAGATGAACTTATGCTTCTGTTTATAAACTGTCCCTCTCATTTGGATGTATTTAGTTACTTGAATCCAAAGTATCTCATCTGTAATATGAACAGATATAAGTGGTAAGGAAAGAAACTAAATAATACATTACATATTTTGATTAGTTTATTTGACGAATTTTATCCTGCTTATATTTGCTTAAATATCATATTCCAACCGCACACTTTTGAGAGATCATACAGTTATACAAATAACAGAAATAAATATTCAGTAAGAAAACATATATAAAAAAGAGACATATTCTTGACATATTGCAAATTAACAAATGAAATAAAATCGAAGCCTATAAATAACATTACAACTCAGACAAGAAAATGAATTAATTTATTAGTAATTTTACACAAATGAAGTGAATAACATTAAAAAAATCGCTATCGTCGATCAAGTTCTGCATTCTGCTTTTGTTTATCCACAATTGCCGGAACATCACTTGGATTCTGAAACGAAAGAAGAATAAATCAGCACATCATCCTTAGCCACTATTTCAAATATATATAAAAGTAAAAATATGAAAAGAGCAGCCACTTAATCAAAAAAAAAAGTTCAATAAAACACTGTTTAAGTGGGTTTATTCCGTTAACAACCCTCAAAATTTTAAACTAGTCTTAGGTCTTATTATTCAACATACGATTCCTAGCAAGTTAAAAGGTGCTTAAACATTATTTGATCAGAAATAAATAATTAATACAAAAGACGTACCTCAAATCCCTTTGAAGTGGACAGAAGTCTTTACAGAAAAATTGCTTTTCAAAATAATAAATTTGGAACCGTTATAGGAATTCAAAGTGTCGTGTGAGTATTATTAGAGGATCAATGAAAAATATAAACTGTTTCAATAAAAAATGTAACTCATGACATACTTAAGACAAACATACTTAAAGGAATATGATTCGCTTTTTAAATAACAGCATTCACTGTTTTCACGTTTTCGAAATTCATATTTCATCTTTAGTGAGTTTGGTAATATTTTTACCTATTTCTTACATTCCTAAAGGAAATCTATCAAATAATTTCAAGCTGAGTAGGGTATATTCAATTTGTTCCCAATGAATAATATAAAAACATTTCTGAAGTGATTACAGAAAGCAAAGACGTTTTGGAATTCAACAAATATTTCCATGTTGAAATCAGAAAGTGGCTGTCATATATAGAAGATTTTTATACCTACTGGTGTCTATTTTGGTATTTTTTGTATTATAATTTATTATCGAAACTATAAGTACCTCTATCTTTCAATAAAAAATGAATTCGATCTAAGAGAAAATCAAATTGTATTTAGAGAAAATGATCTTATTTGAAACAAGATAAAATGTATGTTCAAAACAAATTTGAATCAACTTGGAGGATTTTTCAGTTTAAATTATTATACTTTCCTTGCAGAGCTCGGCAAATGTAATGATGCATATATGAAAAATTACGGAGCATTGGTATAATTTTCTCAAAATGAAGGCAAAATTAAGAGGTTCCGTCAAAGTTTACCACTTCCTCTTCGGTACTACATATACAACGCGGTACAAGACCCCAGTCTTGTAAAATCTGTTCCATTATGGTAGATACAAAATAATCGGGAAGAAATTGCACTGCGTACAGACAGATAAAACACTTCCTCCTCAAAATCGCAACACACCAACACCACTTTCCAACACATACTGATGCGTACGCGATGCTTACAACGGAATTCCCCGCTCCCCTCTCACTCAAGAGGGTCATAGAAAGACCAGTGCACCACAATTTTTTTCAAACTGAAATGAATGAAATACTTCTTTGAAAGAAACCCTGTTCATTCTATACAAAATTTCTGTTATTTTCAATCGATCATAATATAGTTTTGTATGTAGATTCACAAAACTCTTGTTATAAACGAATTGAGTTATTTGTAGGGATACAGTATTAAATGCAAACACACCCTATGTGTTCAGATCAAGTTGATATTGCTTTCCATTTGAAACAGTGTTTTTTCCCTTCAAATAGGTGGTGGATTTTGAGATGATATTATATTTTTTTGATTCAAAATAGTTCATCTTCGCAATCTGTTTAAAAAAAATCTGTTTAAAATCTGTTTTTCTGTTAACCAGCTGTCACACCCCTACGAACGACAACCCTCAGAAGTCGAAACTTGTGCGAGCTAAGGATTAACGAGGTCTTACCTTTTAACGTGTGATTCCTAACAATGATATAATCAAACGAATGATGTCGTTGAAAGGTCAAGAAATTTGATTTCTTTGTTGAAAAAAGTGTGATTTTCTGGTGGAACATGGCGATCTTGGAATAAAGTAATAGTTTTTCCAATAGAGATAAAAATTTCAAAGCAACCTGTGATCTTCTTTTAAAGAAATACTTTTTACTGTGCATCTCATCGTTTTATTTCTTCCTCAAACATTGGTGGTGTAATCCTGCGTAAGAAAAATGAAAGATCATTATATAAACATATACCTTATATATTATTGCTGTTTAAGCCAAGGTTGATCCTGTCAGACGACTTAAATGTATGATTTTTGAAGTAACTAAAAGAAATGGAGAATTCGCTGCC